TTACTCGGTGACTGTTCTGACCGGCATGAGTAAGCAACTATTTATTTTACTGATTATGTAACCATTTTGTTTCATTTTTCATCGTTTCTATCCTCTGTGTTGACTTCGTTCAAAAATGCTGCAGTTCTGGTGTTTGCTTTCACTGCATTCTTCATTTATGAGCAATATGAATTCGAAATCGATGGACTGGCAAAATTTCTCTTCAACAGTATTATGGAATCAAAAGCATTGTTGGCAAGGAATCTACCAGCTTCCGTGGCTTCATATCTTCATAACTTCGCAACTCCGCACCAGCCAAAGACTCTCACCGTGCCCATGGTAAAGACTCAGAAAGAGAAGTGATAAGCGCATTTTTCTCTCTTCATGTCCGATTGAGTGGCTTGCTTAGGCTTTTTGTATCAAACCATAGACGTTTTTTCCCCAGCTGAACAAAGAGATGGGGTACAGTTAATAGAAATAGTCCAGCAGAACAGGTTTAGTCCTGCACAAAGGTATGATGCTGCAACAGGAAAACCATTCCCTCGATGTGATTAATGGTTTCGTTCTGTTTTTATTTTTTTTTAAAATGTACATCAGTTCTCTAAAAATAAATAAATAAAATAAATATTAAAAAAAATAATAATTGGGTATTAATTACACTAGGTAAAGCAGACCAATTGGTGTACTCAATTTTTTTTTTTTACATTAAATGGTAAGTTATATAATATGAAATAATTTTTTTCATTAAAATTTTTTTTTCATTCATTATAAAATTTAAATTTGAGATTTCTATCATAAAAGCTTCAGATTTTAACTATTAGTACGTTTTTTATGCGGCATTGGTTTAAACTCTCAATGCCTGAGCAACTTCAGAGCTATAGGTTGGAGATTCAGCTTTCATCTAACCTACAAAATTACCTCTACCTCCATTTTTTTCTTTATGTTTTCTGTTGTATAACAATAATAATAAAAAGGAGGACATGAGATAAATTAATAGTAGAAGGCTTAATTTGAACTTTTATTTAATAAAAAAGGGACGATAGTTGATGTTAATTTTTTTTTTTAAAAAAAGGAAAATTTCAGTTTTTTAATGTGAAATGAATGACAAAAATTATTTTTATTAATGTAGATGATCAAAAATAATAATAATATAATTATTAACTAATAATTTAATACAA